GTTCACCACATCTTCGACCATGGACACGAATATGGCCCCGTGGAAGGTATCAAAGACGTATTAAGAATAACCTCAAAATGCAAAATGCTTGTTTGTATGCATGATTTTATATATTAATACACTGCACGGTTTTAAGAAAATTAGGTTATGTTTACTTCTGTAAGGACAAAGATTCCTGTGAGCATATATTTAGCTTCTGAATTGTTCAACATTTTATTTTGCAGTAATAAAATAAATTACGTACTGGGGTTCCAGTGCTACCCCACATACTGGAGGGTATTAACAATATGTCGTACGCGTAATTCTGTGAGGTCCCAGCAACAATAGCTTTACTCAATACAGACTTCTGAAATTATGCAAAGTAATAAATCACTGTAAAATACACAAACCTGGTAAGATATTTTTGTATTAAAACATAAAACAACAATATGACAGCTGTGTAATTATGTTAGAGTTCAGATAAAAGTTACAGCAAATAAATCACAGGAATTCTGCATGTGGACATTGGTATGGATATGAATCATGAACATAACTATAAATTATACATAAAATATAAGTTAACAATAAGATATATGGTTCCGATACAAACCTTGGGGTTATACCGACAATTTTAACGTTAAATCTGTATACAAGCAATAAGTCGTTCAAAAATATATCCCAGTAACAGTGATAAATGCAAGCAACAATGAAACGTATTTACTAGTAAGATTAAGATCATGTGGCCATCTACCGAGAAACCCAGAACGAAACGTCGTGACTACGTTATAAATAATTACGTAAGTATAATACTAAGGACCGGAGATTATAAATACGTGCTTTAGGAAAACAGACTTCGTGTATTTCATCGCGAAATCCCTATTAATGAGTATTTTTGTTCAAATGCCAGACATAAAACATGATAAATGCATTTAAGGATGGTTCGTCCCAGCGCTTGTAAGAGCTTAAATACAGACAGACAAACACGACAGAATGAATATAATGTTTCTGCTCCCTTCTAAAACATCTTATCGTTTTCCTCTTTAGTACGCATACAAAAAAAGGGGCACTGTTTTCAACTATTCCTTGCAGTAATTTCACAGTAATCTATAGCAAAGAACTTTCTTGCATATCGCAACTAAACCACGCCTCCATTTCACTCGTTTTGTAATTTCAGAATAATATTCAACTCATTACCTTCAACTAAAATTAAGTGAACGTCATATTTTCAACCATCCAGAAACTTGATATGCATAAAAGCGTGAGAGAAGAAGGTTTATTTTTGAAGAGCTAGCAGCATGATTTTCAACAAAGTAAGTCGGGGAGAAAATATGCCTCCGATCCATTGTCGTTGATTAAATCATAACCCAAGGGTTTATCATTAAAGCATTGTAATGAAATTTGTTATTCAAATTAAGTATTTAATAAAAACCAAACTTTTGCATTAAGAGTGTAACAATAGGGCCCGTTTTCCTTCACCAAACTGTGAAGACCAGTGCGTGAATGATAAATTATGTGTATTGTTATAAACTTTTCAATAGTCATGAAAGACCGAGTTTAAAAAAGACAAACGAATCTTGAATTTACATTTGCAGTACAACTGAAGAGTCTAATTACAAATATAAGGTAATCAGATTATAAAGATGTCTTAATTATTCCATTCAACTGAGATGTCTTTGGTAACAGAAGCGCTTAATCGTATTATCTAAGGGAATTTATAACAAAGTAAAAAACAATGTTTCATTCAGAACATAAGGAAATTTTCCTTTTGGGAAATAGGAGTGAAAAAAATACGGTTCATTTAAATTTCTGTAACAAATGCCTAAATAAAGTCTTCCACTTTTAAGAAACTATTCAGCCACCACGTGCTTTTACTGAAAATAGGTTGACCAAAACAGTAGCTTACTGCAAAAATATTTATTCTCATTAATGAATTGTTAATGATTTCTCTTACACAGGAGTATTTAACAAACAAAGTCTAGTTCAGTTATGCGCAACACACGTGATCATAAACCGTATCCAGTTAGACACACACACAAAACACACTTGTGTTTTATAGGTCTAGACAAGAGGTGTTAGACTGTTAACTAATTTAACCAATGATTTTAATCTAACGGGGCTGGGTAACACTTCTGATTCTTGGAGTGGTATGTCTGCAGTATTACAGCAAAATTAATTATTTGCATACGCCTTTTGAACGCTTACATTCATTAAATTTAAATGATACATCATAGTGGAAGCAGGTAAAATCACGGAAAGTGTCGCCACCTATTTCCACCTCCGGGTTAACTACTTGCACAAGGCCCACCAACGAAACCTATTCTGAGGAAGATCTACATCTTTATATCGTATTTCTTCTTTAACAACAATTTTAATATTATCCTCCGGTAAGTAATACGTGAAGCAATTGGTCTCTCCCGTTTACGTTTCCGGACTAAAATGCTGATGCATTTTCCAACCACACCAATGCATGCTACATACCCCACCCATCTTGTACTCCGGTATTTTATAACCCTAATACATTTCGTGGAGTGAAAATTAAGATGCTCTACTCTATGCAGTTTTATCCAGCCTCCTGATATTCGTGTCAGTTGTCTCCAATGTTAAATAAAGCAACAGCCTAAGACAGAGGAAATACCTTCAAATATAAGTTTAATTAATCATATTTTATTTCAAATCTAAAACTTCTTGACGATGGTGAAGAGTCAATTGAATAAAAATTTCCTTGGATATTATCCATCGTCTAGTAAATAGAGCTAATCCCTATCTCCGGAGATAGGGATTAGCTCTATCTAGTGGGCCCAACTGTGTAGGAACCTGAAGACGGAGATAGAGTCCCATCTCCGAAACGTCGTTTTTACGTTTTATATTTACTAGACGATGGATAATATCCAAGGAAATTTTTATTCAATTGAATCATATTTTATTATTAATATCTCTAACAACTGTCAATACAAGTAGTTCAGTGTTAAATCACCAAAAGAATTTTCAATAGACCACAATCAATTCCAATTTTACACCAAACAATTCCGATCAGGAATCCACCATTATAAATAAATTACATTAAATATCCTAAACTTTCCTGTCAAGACAGTAATAAATTACAAGCAAGAATATAATAATTAAAAGGGAACACTAGTAATCATGTCATTTGTCTTCAGCTGGGAAGTCCTATGAACTTTGTGCCCATCTTGCACAAGCCCCGTCTGACTGCCCACCCACAACGTCGAGTTCATGTCAGGATACCCGATGTGGTACGCGTGTATCCACATAGTTATTAACCTGCCCGCCTACCAGAGCTTAATCCCTCTGCGACGTACGTAACAGTCCTACACCCCCAAAACACGGCTACGACTCGCTCGATCCAAAATAACTCAGCGAAATAGCCTCTGGACTCGACATTTGATGGCGGTGGCGAAGAACAGCGTTCAGACACATCGGAACTGCACCAAACTGCATTAAACATCTTTAAAACTTAAAATGTTTAACGTTTTCAAAATTTCTAGCCGTTTTAACATTTAACTTTATCATTATTTTATGACATTGGAAGGATATAACACAATACCCACTGAAATAACACAGAATCAAGAAATTGAAACTGATGATGGCTAGTTTGGACCGAAACGTGTTCAAGTGAGTTGACATTGAACAGTGTGAAACAATAAGAAAACAAAGAAACTTTTAAAGTATCTCTGCCAGATAAGAGGTTCTCAGAGCCTCGGTGAATATGTCGATTTTGGTCTTCAGGGATGCAATGCCGTGTTTACCTGTAAGTAGATACTAACGTTTCTGAGGAACATACTTCCTACATCTTCAGGGCTAAGCGTGTTACATTTCTGAAGAGAATGATACACATTTTATTTGTCCACAAGCCACAGTAGAACCTTGGCCAAGCATGTAACACCTCTTAGAATTTACATTTGCTATTGGGTTAATGTAGGATGGTTAATATAAGATAAAATGGACGAGAAATGTAGCAGGTATAGTGAGAATTAGAAATTCGTAGAGAATTTTGGCAGGAATACTTGAAGGGAAGAGTCGGATTGAGAAACCCAGGCGAAGTTGAAAGGACGAATGTTAAAAAAAATTGAGTGTAATGATAATGTGAAATGGGTCCATGTGGATAAGGGCAGTGACCATAGCGTACTCTCGAGATCATGGTAATGGACCTTCGGGTTCTAAAGAGTAGTCGAGAAATATATTGAACGACTAATAGGAACTAGTGGAATTTTATCTCTGCCCCCATCTTCAAGCATTTCCGGTAAACGCCGATGCACAAGGACAATTTCATAAAAGCAATATAAAAATTAATAGCTCGGTATGCCGCTTATAGAAGACGTGGAATTTGCTTCGATGGCATAGAAGGAGGAAAGAAGTCGCCAGTTAAGTGTCGGTCAAGAAACCGAAGCACTGGCCTACTAGATTAGATGAAACCAAAATTAATTTCGCTGGACTACTTAAAATACGCAGACACTCAATATCACACTTAATCGAAATCCTGTGAGTAGCTTTGAAGGTGATATCGATGTGACAAGACAAGGCGAGACATCCGTTATTCGTTTATTTTACGAATTCTCAATGTAAACGCTTAGTAATTGACAATAAGGAAATGTGTGGTACTTTAAAAAGGATAAAAATCGAGATTATGAAGTATGCTTCTACAGTGAAGATGCAGATCATAGGTTCCTCTGAAACATTGGTAGTTATCTACAATAAACGCCAAACTTTTATTGTTATACAGAAAAGTAAAAATACTGTCATACATAGCAAGATGCATTTGATATCAGTGATCATCATTAAACTTAAATCGAGTGTCTAAATATTTATTTATTTATTTATTTATTCGAACTTCTTTATCCTTTCGGCTTTTAGCAAAAAGCAAATACTTGCAATTTTAAAATAATTTTATTGCTGCGTGGATAATATAAAAATCCTTTCTTCACGGTCACATAAAGTGACGTACGGGAAGCCATTTCTCGAGAAGTTCGAATGTAACAAATTTTTATATCCAACCAATCACCTACCTTCTTTCAACATTCCGTTCACAATTTTAACGATGCACTACATATGGGATTTCTATGCACTGAATCTGAATGTCAGTTAATTACGAAAGACACCACATACGAACACTTCAGAACTATCAGGTTTTAACAACTAGATATAATTAAACTGTACGTATAAAATAAATAAAAAAGTTATTGTTCTTTTAAATTTTTAAAATGATTAGCCACATAAATATAATTCATATTCGTTATTAAAACGATGAAAATGCACTAAAATCACAGGTTCTGAATAAAGCAATTCCTTGCTCTATCTGACCGCGTATGTTGGACAGGATGTGAAGCCAGGAACCGGACGTCCGACGCTGGAGGCGAACACAACAGCAGTAGTGCTAAGCAGGAAGCCGGTTGGTTTATGTTAGGGGCCACGCGCTTCGAGGAATCAACACGAGGGATGTTGAAGGGTGGGGTTGGTGAAACTGCACTAGATTCTGCGCACATACTGTGACTTAAAACACAAGCTTATCAGGGAAAAAGATTGAGGGACATCTAGGACACGTACAAAATTGAATAAATATAAAAGAAATGATTGAATTAAACTACGTAATATATGACCTTTCTTTTGTAACAAATGTTGGTCTGCTTCTGTTTGTAACATTTTCGATTGAGTTGGAGCCATGTAATTTGTTTCGATGGCACTGAAATTTTTGTATTAAGAAAACGTCATACCTTAACGTGAGAACTAGACAAAAAGTTAAATCTGAATAATGGTCTCCATGACAAGAAAAAATGAATAAGTAATATACAAAGCCGGAATGCTCCACGATTCCTATATATGGATTTTTTATTCTTATTAACCTCCCCTATTTACATGTCCCCATTTGCTCTGTTTTCTAGTTCTTGAAAAGGGAAAAGTGATAAATTATATAACAAGAAAGTTCAGCTCCTTTATAAAGCACAACTGTTGATCAAGAGTCAGCGGAAACCTCCATTAATGACGCAACCCTTTTCATCTCTTTTAATTGATTTCCATAAATCTCAAATGTCTTGGCTTTTTAAGTGATTTCAGCAAGAAGTTTCTGTGTTAACATAAGTGCAGTGTTCGTCCGTGGATGCATATAATATCTGTAGTGCACACCATCCGTGTAGTGTCCTATTATACGAGGTTCACTCAGAAATGTTTCACCAGATTTTTTCCTGCAAATAATTACAGAAAATATCTTAAAATCTGGTGTACAATTACTTAAATACCTTATACACAAAAAGTTGTTTTGATACGCATTCAAAATCAGACACAAATTTCTGATGTTTTCTGAAAAATTTTCTGATGACTGACGTACATACGTTCAAAAGCAGTTTCCGTGTCATTTATGTTACGACAATACCAGCTGAACTAGCTTCATGGATAAGAATCTTTCTGACAAGCTGACAGCCGTTCGTCTGGTCAATAAATATCCAGCCTTTTATGGAACCCGAAGGTTCACTATTGTGTTCAAAAGATCCCGTCACTGGACCCTAACGTGATCCATCTCACATCCTATTTATTCAAGATCCATTTAAATATTACTCCCCCATCCGCGACTAGGTCTACCAAATTGTCCTTCTCCTTGATGTTTGGCCTTGGAATTTGTGTAAGAAATATATATGGGAACTGGAAATCATAATATAATTGCTAGCCACAACATTCTGACAGTCGGTACCAGATCAAGTGACCGTCTGAAGATCAGCAGTCTTCAATTTAACATGGAACATTCGAGATAAAAACAGATCACCTACTTAGTATCGAAATATTTCAAACAACAGTGGACACTTCGATGATTTGTTTGAAATTCTGCGGTTTTCGTTTCGTCTTCCTGTTCATTTACTGTAAATATATCCTAAATCTGTTGTTACAAAGCTAATTAAGATAATATTCTCCACGAAAAGTCAAAAAAGATTTTCTTCGATTTCCGTTTAATATCTAAAAAATCAGATCAGTTTTATTAAAAATTCCAAATATTAACGAGCTCCATATTTCATGTTTCGTTCAATAAACTGCTTCTCAGAAACGTGTTAAAGTTTAACTTGGACTTCACGTACAGCAGAGGTTGTTATTGACAGGTAAGATACAAAACGAAATTCTCTCAAAGCTCCAGTACAGCATCCCCCCCTCTCCAAATGCTTCAGTTAACAACAACCAAACCTGATTCCCTACTATGCGTTCATTTTATCCACTTTGCGCAAACACCCCATAAAATGCAGATTAAATTAAATGTGCCATAAAAACAAATAAAAATCTTTAATTAAGACTTTCAAGGATAACTCTGGAATTTCGGTAAATTATGACTCAAAACGCACAAATTGTTTTATTTAATGAAACATCAGATTGCAGAGACGTGTCTATACCTAATTAAGCATCACTCCATTAATATGTATGGGGGGAGTGGAGGTATAACTCCACGCATTATAGTCGGCACTAGATGGAGGTGAGTGGTTAGCTTCACGCTCCGTCCGGTCTACCTATGGGGAATAAAATGTCCAATTGGATATGAGGCTGGATGAGCCCTAGAGTCGGTTTGGACGTTGTGACAAAGAAAACGTGTCTGTTTTTTGGCGGGATTCGAACCTGGTCGTCCAGTCACTACAGACACTGGGCTCGTAGAGCCATTATATTGTTTTTATCCACTCAGTGAGTGGCCAAGTGTCCTTCAGGCTGCTGCAGTAACTGTTCTGCACTTCGTGTAGCGGAATGTGTTCAAGCTGCACTAAGCGTTAGTTGAATTTTACGAGGCAGGTCCAATCCCATGTCTCAAGAGATTTTTGCGACCCATCGACGACATTAAATATGGCTGTATGCCAATGTATTCGTCGAGACACAAGATGCTTGCAGGTTCAAAACAGAAATTTCAAAACTTTACAGCAGTTTCATTTCTATCGTTTAAATTCAGCTACTGTTGATAACAACAAGTAACTCTGTATTCTGTCCACAGAGCGAATTTATAGATTCATTATAATTATCGGAGTAAACAGCGATTAATTCCGTAAACAGGATTAACATACTGATCTCTGTAACAGTGAGGTGTTGTGTTCTCTTTGCGGTACTGACTGGATTCTTAAATATTAATTAGACGAGCTTTGGCTTCAGAGGGTTAGTCTTAATAGGGGTCAGAAATTCCAGGTTAGCCATCGATCGCCTAAACACGCCTGCAGAGGACTGGCAGTTGTTACTTTCTTGTACAGAGTGAAGGGAAGAAACTGGATTCTACAAGTTTACAGCGTAAGGTTAGTAAATTGGTGCAGCTCAGATTATTTTACTGCTAAATATTATTTAAAACCTGGTCCATTCAATTAAAAACTGAATTTGTTGCGAAATTTTCAACCGAAAAGTTTCCAAAAAAAAGTCGAAAATTAACATATGGAATATGGATTTATTTTCCCACAGTCTATCATCTCTCCAAAAAAATTTTAAACTCTTATTATAACAATAACAGCTGTAATTATGAAAGCCAATAATATCGTAGGTAGCTTAAATCGTACTTTTGTTTCTATATAAATGGCGTTTCAGACTTCTCTCTCTGTTGATATGTTAACTGGATTATTTTTCTCTCTCCGTTCGTTTAAAGATGATTCCTCAACTTCACGGGCTGTATCGTCCTATATAAGTATTTTAGAGTAAACGGTTAGAATCCCGTTGCTTACAAGCTTCATGAAAACAAATAAAATGACAGTCGATTTAAAGACAACACCAACCTAACACCGTGGAACACAGTCCTTGCGAACCCAACAGTACACTCATGCCTTCTATGAAACCCGAAGGTTCATTGGCGTGTTTACAAGAGCCCGCCACTGGTCCCTACCCTGAGCCATATGAGTTCGATCTACACACCCCAAACCCCATTTTCCTAACATCCATTTGCATATTATCCTTCCATCTGTGTCTAGGTCTTCTCAGTGATCTCTTCCCTCCATAGGCAACCAGTGACATTTATTCGCTGAAAGTCGTATGTGTAAAATATACCTCAGGCATTATATATCGCCCATATTCTACGCCATAATGACGTATAGTACCGATCACATTCTCAAATTATAAGACTCCTAAAAAGGAAGGTTTTGAAGTTTTATGACACTTGAATGTATCGTTATTTTACGACATCATTACGCAAATATAACGACACATAAACAGCCTTCGGCGATTTTGTTACAGAGGACCATTGTGCAAAAAAATATCGAGATCGTAATGTGTGTTATACATCTGGGCACGAAATTAGCGGACAACGGTGAATGGGGGGGGGGTTTAGCAATAAGTTCCTCCGAAACGTCGGTCGTTATCTACCAGACTGCACGGTGTAATATCCCATAAGACAGCCATCTTCATATCGGTTACTGTAAGAACCTTGCCAGAAAATCTTATCATCACCAATGTTCGATAACATTGACTTCGTAATTAAAACGTCGGAATATTAACATTTACACCATAAATTCCTTTATATCAGCATTAAATATACGTTATTATAAATGCTTATGATTGATTCAAATTGCCTAAGCGTAAATACAAATACATTTATGAATCCATTCTCCAGAAGGCTGGTATATATATTAAAGTAAAATTAATCTAACCAGAATGATAGTCGTTAATTACAACGTATTATAATAACCAAACCAATTAGATTAATTTATATCGTTTAACGTCAAAAGCTGATGTGACATTTCGCTGGTTCTATAAAGCTCGAAGCAAAGGAAACTTCAGAGAGGTTTATTGCCCTATTAGGCCAGTCCGTTGCCTAGACACGATGCTGAGACCCCTAGTTTAGTCACTACGCCAGATAACCGATAATCAAGCGACACGAAGCCCTTTACAGAACAATTAATTTGGTAAATGCGTATACGCTTACATATATGTTACATATGACTTTGTAACAATTATTTATTTTAATCCATCTTATCACAATATTTAAAATTTCTTATAATTAAGATAATAAAATATCATTGATGTTCCATATCGATTGATCGATTTACATTTTGGAACATCTTTTACACAACATGTTTCAGTTTTTATAAAACCACCATCATTGACCCACACCTATACGATGAGAGTAGTACTTCTGGACATATCGGAACAATCACTCCTACATCTAAGACCGATATGTACATCTGATAAAATTAAGAAAAGACAACACCTCGCCCAAAATTGAAAAACAAATGGCATGAAACATCACCAAATGGAATCATATTTGAGTTTTAAGTTCGTAAATAATTTACACCTGATGATGGTTTTATAAAAATTATAAAAACTGAAACATGTTGTGTAAAAGATGTTCCAAAATGTAAATCGATCAATCGATATGGAACATCAATGATATTTTATTATCTTAATTATAAGAAATTTTAAATATTGTGATAAGACGGATTAAAATAAATAATTGTTAGAAT